CTGTACTTTCATTGCCTCCAGGATACGTAACGGTTCGTTTTGGGGCAATACATTTTCAGTGGCATATTTGGCAGTGTGTTGCGATTTCACAGAATGCTCGTTCCTAAAGTGCTGTTGATAAATGCAGCATTGTTCGGTATTTCGAGTTATATCATATGTAAATTGTGTGCTGTTGAGAAATCCAGTAAAATGCACTGTGTTTCAGTCGCATATATTATTCAAGTGGCATTAACGAATAGTTTAACATTAAAGAAAACATCAGAAATTAAAGAAAACATCAGATTGACCTTGAATGCTTTATCATCAAATATTTCATTAAATCCTTTTATATATTTGTATATTTGGATGCCGAGTGTACATATGAGGAGTTAATACACCTGAGTTGGCCGATACGTAAATCTTCATTTCCTGTTGTCGAGAGAAGGGAAAAAAATGACCACGTTCTTACCCTCACTCAATCAAAAGCAATCGATGAAGCGGTGCCATTTTAACTTAGCATAAACATGCGTGTGCACCTGTATGCGTGTGCGCGCGCATGTGCGCCACACTTGTTTGCGCGCGCGAGCACCGAACCAGGCACGCGATGTCTCTGGTGCTCGTTGTGCTGAGATGGGGGGGGGAGCGCGGCGGCTGGGAATGGGGCGGGGGCGGGGGGGGGGCGAGTAGCCCGGTCGACCTCCACTTCATTTAATTTGGGTGCCGGTAACGGAGGTCTCCCGTGTGCCACCGAGCACGGGGCTGGCAGATTGGCTGCGCGTCACCGCCGCATCCGGTCTCGGCAGCGCACCGGGGCTGGTCTCGGCCGGTGCGCGCCGCGATGCTTGTTTATTTATTTGCCGGCGATCACCGTCCGCTGCGTCCGGGAAACTTCGACGTCCCCTCCCGCGGTCGCCGCGGCCGCCCGTTCGCGAAATGCCGGCGTTCGGCAGAGACAAGCAGAAAGCGAAGTCGGGAAGGCAGGATCGACGGCTGCAGTCGGCTCGTTGCGACTCCCTGCAGCAGCTGCTGTGCCTGGTGAGGAGCCGCACGGAGCTACTCGGCGTGGGTAAATTGTGTTGCGGGAAAATATTGAACGAAGCGCGAATGAAGGGGGAATTGATGACAAGTTCATTATTAGCAAAATATTGGAGACACGGGTCTTAATTGACAAATGCGAGGGTGTTGCGTTTGCGGTTTTTGAAAGATTTGTTGATTGTATTGTGGGTAATGAGGTGTGACGGTGATGCGGGGGTGGGGGGGTAGCGTGTGTCGCCGCTGCATCACGATGAGGGATCGCAGCGATAAGCGCACGCCGCTGCATTGTTAGCACGCTGCCATCGAAGAGACGGTGTGCCTGTGACGGCTTCCAGTCCTGATCACAGTGACCTTCACGAGTCCTTTGTGGTCACGCATTAAATATCAGCTGTCGGGCGTAGGACAGCAATGTTATTTTCCAGCACGGCGGGGTGAGTTTCAAATCATTGATTATCTCCTCCTCATCTCGATACTGCATGCTTCGTGCTTCGCAATTGTACTCGGAACAGGTGGCTTCCGTAAAAAATCCATAATCGGGCATATGTGCGGATATTTTTTTGTTGTTGCACTCCTGATGCCGCCTTGGGCGTGACGTGTCGTGCGCTGGACTCCGCGATCCAGAAGTCGCCGGTTCGATTCCGCAAGTTCCTTGCCATCTCCCCTCTCCCACAGCCTCTGTCTACCCAGCGGTGTGAATGGGTTCACCGCAGTTAGCAGGCCCGCACGTGCCGCGCGGTGGGGTAAAGTGTGGGTCCTCTCAGTAGACCTCTAAATAAACTCCTTAAAAAAAGTTTTTTTTTTTAACAACGGTTTTATTTACAACTTCGTTTAACTCACCCTCGAGAAGTACGCCAATGAGGCGGCGCCTGCTCCCACATCAACGCTTACTTGAAATCATTGGTTATTTTATAGATTAATCTTCAATGTACTACTCGTTCACACGGAGCGGGAGCACCTGAGACACGCTGCGCATGCTTTTTTGTGCGAGTCGATTCCACAGTTTAGGGACCGCGGCGTTTTTGAGCTACACAAAAATATAAAATTAATAAGGCGTCCAAACTAAAATGTTAATTGCTTGAAAGGAGCCAATTAATTGATGAATTGATGCCGATTTTGATACAGGCATGCATTGTCGCCGGATCTGCGTACGTGTGCAACATTTCGAATTGATTGGACAACAGGAAGTAGAATAAATTTAGATTACAAGATTTGACCACGACAAACAGGAGTCAAGTTAAATAAAACCGTTAAAAATAGGGCTGTAGAGCTTCCTGTAGTGGAGGCCCTTCCTCCAGCAGTAGTGTAAGCCAAGCCATTGCGGGGGCTGCACCCTTTGCCTTTTGCGACTGCTGGGCAAAGCATTTGCCGTGCGGTGCGAATTGCGTGTGCGAGTGCGCGCACTGTGTGTGTGTACGGCCCTTCGCCTGAACGTGACTTACGGGGCTGCTGCTGTTTTTTTTCGCGCCGGCCGACATCTCTCCCTCTCGTTGTGCCTCGTGTTTCGCGACGGGGGGGGGGGGGGGGGGGGGGGGGGGGCCGGGGGGGGGGGGCACACGTGCAGGGAATCCTCTTGAGCAGCGGTCCGGCCGCTTCAAAGTTAATTGACGGCCCGCTGCGCACACCGCTGTTTCTTAAAGCTTCTCTTTTTAATGAGGGGAGGAGAAGCACTTTATTTGCCGTGTCCGTTTCTGCACCTGCTGCCTAGCCCGGCTGCAAGACCGTGTGCCGCTGCTGCTGCTGCCGTTGCTGCTGCTCGCTCAAGGGGGACTTGCGCCATTAACACACGTGGCACAGAGATCGCAAACGGGTTTTCATTCCTTACCCGTACCCGTACCCGGCCGCACCAGGGTCGCAAATGGGTACCCGTACCTGGCCGGTTACGGGTACCCGTTCCCTACGCATACCGGTACCCTACCCGAAATGAGTGACAAACGGTTACTCACCAGTGACTCACGGGCTACCCGTACCCGTACTCGGCCGTACCAAGGTTGCAAACGGCTACCCGTACCCGGCCGGGTACGGGTAGCCGTTTGCGACCTCTGACGTGGCGGCTCACTTGTTGCCCTGCGAGGCAAGGTAAATTCGGAAAACCTTTAGACCGGAGAGCTTTTGTCGGCTTTAAAATAAAAATGTAATTGTCAGGTGGCATGTGCTTCGCTGGGATAATTGGAAATCCAAAGACAATTTACGTGCCGTTTTACTGCTCCAGTGCCTGTGCGGTGGTGCGAGGGGTGAACCACGGTGAAATTGTTTTTTTTTGTGTTTCGCACTGAGAATTCACTTGGAAATGTCTCTCGCGGGTGATTGTAGTGGACGACCATCACACGAGTGGCGGGGCGGGGTGTGGGGAGCTTTTCCACTGGCTGAGCGCGTGGCCTGCGATGCCCCCGATTTAGTGTCCCCACCACAGTCTGCCTTGCGATGCTGAGCCATGATGGTACGCGCTGCGCTTGCCTTCCAGAGCCGCGGCCGTTTGCTCATTTATTTTGGGGGAATCCCAGCGGCTGTGACTTGGTGATTGCGTTTTGAGGCCGAGCCCGGCGTATCGCACGCCTGGAGGGTGCAGCTGTTCCCGCCGTGACTTTGAGAAGGGAAAATATGAGGAGATGGAAGTGAATTAAATTCGGTTTACGCGTTTAACGCGTAGGCTTGTGTGAGCGGCAGTAAAACGATTTTTCTGACGGTATGTTGTTTATGTGTGTTTATGTGTTATCTACTTCAACTCGCACGCATTTATTTTCCTTCGAGATTTTAAACTACATCAGTCATGCCCGCCGATGTGTTTTCAGGGTGTGAGCACTTGTTGTTTAGTTCCTGAAGAGGCTCCTTGCACGTGGAGCGAAACGTCGGACATCGTGCCGTACAACCCGAAAACACATTGGAGAGCTTATGCAGGACAACTGCGAAATACCTCCATGGTTATATCAGTGTTCCTATCCTTACATACGTTGACCTGAGTGTGGAGTCTAACTTCATGTTGGTTAGTAATGTAAACGTATCTCACGACGTTTTGACTTTTGTATCTGTCAGTCCACTGCTGGATGAAGGTGTCCCCATGTCGCGTTGGTAATGACGGTTGTTTGACCGTACTTGACCACGCTGGTTAGTGTAGGTTAGTCAAATATCCGTACAGATAACACATTCCTGCGGAGGGAGCTGGTAGGAACGTTGGGTTGCTCGGTCAATGGCCAGGGTCAACGGCGGCGTGGTGTATTCCACAAATATGGCCGACTGTGAGGGCAGGCACAAGCCAGCGTGAGTAGGTTAAACGTTTAAGGGCACCACGGGGTGACCAGCCCCTCCCCACCCAGCCCCACTCCTCCCACCCCCCACCCAGCTCCTCCCCACCCTCCCCTCCCCACCCAGCCCCTCCCCACCCTCCCCACCCAGCCCCTCCCCACCCTCCCCTCTCCACCCAGCCCCACGACGGACGTACCCAATAATCACCTGTGGGCTGGTGTAACCAGGAGGTTCCAACCAGTATAACTCTCCACTGATGTTAGCCACAGCCGGGAATGCAACTTAGGCTGCCGTGTTTATATCACAGTCGACTAACCACTGCACCACTGCTGCCCCCTCCATATGATCATCGCCATCATCGGCCATGATCTATCCGCTGCTGGAATAAGGCCTCCCCATTGCCATCCTTCACAATTTTGCGATGGGACAATCCATTTTGCTTCTGCACACGAGCCGATCTCTGACGTCACGTACATGTCTCTGCACGTGTCTGTGTATATACAGATGGAGAGATGGCACAGATCTTTATCATCACACAAACATTCGCACAGACGGAACGGACGTGCGGAGTCACCGCGGACTGTTGCTGCGAACGTGTGTCGCTAAACGCTCCCATTAGCGTCGCGAGCTAAAGGACATTTGCACGCCAATTAAGGCGCTAACGAGGGGCGGGGGGGGGGGGGCGTCTGGCTGCGCGTGTTGTCGTTGATGTTATCGCCGTCACCTCGTCCGTCGGGCGCGCGCAGAGCGTCGAGACAGCGGCCGTGTTCTGCCGATCGGCGATGGAGCCGGCCGAGGTTGCGGCGCGACCGCTGTCGCGCCAGCTGACGGAGGCCGACAAACTGCGCAAGGTCATCCTGGAGCTGGTGGAGACTGAGAGGTCCTACGTGAAGGTGAGGGCCCCCCCCGCCCCAGCGTCCAAGTGGACGCACAGCGATATGCACCGCGCGGTTTGCCGCGATATAATTTTTCATGATGCATTAATCACCATCATCGTCGTCAACCACTGCTGGATGAAGGCCCCTCCCCAAGCTGCCCAACAACTCTCACGAACTGATTGCATCACTCCATCTGCTTGTCTGCCATTCTCTCGGACACATTTCGTTACGACATGACGATTATTGTGATATTGGTTTTTGTGATTCACTGCACTTAAAGTAAGGATTTCATAGAGTTGTTCAACTGCAAGTTCAACCAATGTCAGTCCATGTTTAACTAATGGTAATTTAATCATATATAACCCTTATAATGCACATGCTGTCAGTTACGCTAGAAATAATTCATGAATTAATTTGACTCAAATGATGATACCTTATGAGCACCATGCCAGCTATTACTGCCGAAAACTTTTGCAAAGAAGACATTGAATGGATAATGGCTATTTATTTACAAGTTTAGATATTAAGTTTTTTTATGCGATAAACATTTTGTCGGGTGATAGAATATTTAAGGATTTTTTTTAAGCCTCGGTTATCACGATATAACAATTTTTTTAAGAACTGATGTAAAAATTCGATGGTCGTAGATCTCATATTGTACAATATACCGCAGTCTCGCCATCGTATCTCTCCATCCCTCCGTACCGCTTAGGGAGGGAGGCCTTTATGATACCGGTGTCAGCGGATGACATGCCCTGAACGTTTGTTCACTTGCCCGTGTCAGCGCTCTCATAGTTGTCTGCTGTCACATAACGAAACGGCCATCCCTTCAGTTTACATTTTTTATTCATAACACATTTTTGTTCTTTATTCCCTGCGAAGCTTCGTGCGGTGTCGGCGACTGTTTAAAAATGCAGCGGATCGGTGTTAACCCTTGGCCTCGCTTTTTTTTATTTTCCGTGTTTACACGTGATCTTTACGGAAGCCGCAGCAGGTGTGGTATTTCATTGCGAGCGAACTAAATAATACATGTCCCTCCGACTCGTGTCCAACACTGTGGCTGCCATTGTTAAATTCTCGTCTATTTTTCCAATCTTTTTTGGCCAGCGGTGTTTGGTGACATTTATTTTTGTTGAACATGTTTCGCCTTTCTGACACAAATCTGCCACGCAGAGCGCCCGTTACATGCAATCACCAAAATCACAACTCCCATCTAATTTGTCTTTTCTTAAACATGGCAAGCTTCGTCACGCGTGGACACTTTGCGCTCGTTTAACAAAACCCTGAGTACACCGGTTGGTAGGCCGTGCACGCAACTGGCTCGGTTAACCCAGTGTGCAGAAATATCTCACAGATGAGGTTGATAAAAAAGAAAATCCCCTTGGATGGAGAGTTGCAGGCTGCCATTTCCAGACCGGTATCAATTCCTAGCGGCATCCGTTGGTCGCGTGAAGCGTTGGGAACATTTGGTGGGTCTATAGGCCCTGCCTGCAATGCCGTAAGTCACACGCCCCCCCCCCCCCCTCATTCTGCGTGGTCGTCTTTGTTTTTCAGGATCTCTGCACTTTGCAAGATATATACGTGGAGCCGCTGCAGAAAGAAGCCTTTCTCTCGCCAGATCAGGCCAGTGGAATATATTGGCAACGCAAACATGCGCCATTTCAGGAGTGTACTCGCGAAATACTGGTATCTACTTAATCAGCTGTACCTTGTGCACTGAACAAAAAATGTTCTCCTCAAACAGCGTTTGTTTGTCAGCTGCGTATGAAAATGCCTCTGATCTTTCTCTTTAAATGAAATGGCGGTTAACAAGGTGGACTGAAATATAAATTCCCAACAACTTTTGATGTGAAATTAATTCCGTTGGTGGTTTTTATTCATGTATTATTCAAGTGTGCTTTAAAGTTGCTCGACATTTAAACACTGATGGGCTAGCTGCAGCTAATTAAGCATTTGATCACGTAAACATTGCACGCTGTGCACCAACGTTTCAAACATGCCGGCTACATCGGTGCAAACTGGGTTTGAAGGTTGTCCTCTTGACTTCAAGCTTTCGTGACTGCAGGAATTCATCTTCTTGGGTCTTTCGGTAAAGTCACGTAGATAGGTTCAAATAACAATAACAAACAAGTATAACCCGTAAAAAAAAGTTTTTCACTATAAATCCTTTATATGCGTGGCGGCTAGAGTCCTCTCGTCCTCTGGCTTGAGATGGCTGCCACCTATGGGTAAGATGATTGTCTGCCAGTATTAAGCAATTGGTAGTTAAATATTTAATTTGTTTTCCCTAAACAGTGTAAAATTTAGGAAAAATTTTTTCACGAACATTAATTGTCTCGCACAACGAGTCTGTGTGCAAAATGTCAGCTCGATTGGATCACGGGAAGTGGGTTAAAAAACGACCGAAAGATTTGCACGGTCGTAAGCAAGCAAGCAAGCACGCAAGCACGCAAGCAAGCAAGCGAACTTAATATAAAGGATTTAAAAATTACGACGTTTGCGGCTCTGCGATCTGCCATTAACGTGCTAATCTCTCATTAACTTGCTAATTTTCACCTGGCAGCCCTTTGATTGGTGGAAAACCAGCCACCGTCGGGTTGGGCTGCCCACCACTTACATTGTCATTGGCTGCTGACATTTGGGCTACGCCCATTTCAAACCCTTATAAACAGTTTGCCTTGGAAGTTAACCACCCTTTTCCTGAAGACGACCGCTTGTGTTGCGATCGAAACGTCGTTTTTTGTAATTTTTTTTGTTATTTTCTTTGACCATATCTACGAAAGACCCAAGAATATAAGGTTGTCCTCTTGTTTTGTAAAAAAAAAATTGCGTGAATGCTTCTGAACTTTTTTGTTGCCAAGCCTGACGAGAATGTGCACCGCCACGGTTACACGCGGTGCATTAAAATCCCCTGACATTTCTCCCCCCCCCCCCCCCCCCCCCGTTACGATGGCACGGTACAAATGGACCGGCTGCCCAAGCATGCTGTGCAATAATAAGAATAGGTTTTGCCCTTTCTGGAAATGTGAAACAGGGAGGTGTTAAGATGTCCAAACGCCAAATAGAAACCTATTGCAAGGCATCAAGTCTGTATTAGCCACGCACAGTACCTGTGGCAAAACGTGCAAACAAATATGCTCTCGTAATATTTGCATTCTCATTGAAACCTATTGGCCTACACCAAAGACGGCCTTCCTTATTGCCTTGCCTGCACACTCTAAGCACGGACACGAAGCAACCCAAGGTCTGTAAAATATTTTCCCAAAAAATATCTTATATCCTAAATTTCGATTTTTTATTTTTTGTATTTTTTTATTTTTTCCATTCTACGTGACTTTACCGAAAGAACCAAGAAGATCTTATATCCTCCTTTAACTAGGCAGAACCATCCTGATAAGATTCTTTTCACCACATTTAGACCCGACAGTAATGTTACGTTGTGTTATTATTGTGAGCGCCGTAACTCTGATGTGTCATCAGTCCCGGCTCCAGCGCCTCTCAGATGTGGGTGGTGCAGTAGAGCTCTTGTGTTTAGTTTGATGTCCTTTCCCAGAACCTCTGATTACCACTGTTGGCTACGCACGGTTAGAGAGAAGTTCAACATACGTACATCGAGCTAAAGCTTTCGTGACTGCAGGGATTCATCTTCTTGGTTCTTTCGGTAAAGTCACGTAGAATGTAAATAACAAAATAATAAAAATAAAACATAATAAAATAATTCTCACGACGTTTCGGCCACAACGCAAGCAGCCTGCCTCAGAGTCTGACTCTGTCTTCTCGACAGAGTCAGACCTGTTCTCCACCTGAGGACGGCTGCTTGCGTTGTGGCAGAAACGTCGTGAAAATTATTTTATTATGTTTTATTGTTATTATTTTATTATTCCCATTCTACATGACTTTACCGAAAGAACCAAGAAGAGGTACATCGAGCTGTTGGGTGGGTGGCCAGAGTCGGAGTGATTTACCGCTAAGGGTGAGAGTGAACTTTGGTGGTGCCAAAGAAACATTTAGTGGCACAAGGACCCACACCAGCACTCTCTTAGCATCAGCCCTGTGTGTATAATGATGTGAGCCGCAGGGTTGTGACCTCGGGGCGGGGGTGGGGGGAGGGGAAGTGAACTTACGTGGAGCGTCGTTCCTCTCGTCCGCAGCTGGAGGCCCTGTTCGGGACCCTACGGGAGCTGGTGATCTTCCAGAAGGAGTTCCTGCAGACGCTGGAGCAAGGCCTGAGCCTCGCGCCTGACTTTGAGACACTGGAGCAGCCCGCCCACTTTCGGGTGAGAAGACGGCGCGGAGGCCGGGGGGGTGATGGCGCCAGCGCCAATGCACTCGGCATTTGTTGTTCCATCCCCTCCGCCTCCCCCCCGCATCTCGGGCTGGAGTCAATTCTCTTACTCTCATTCACTGAAGCAGTCAAACATTTAGTCAAATGGTCCTTAGTGATTAAATGTTAGGGTGAGGGATGCACACCCCCCCCCCCTCTCCCCACCTCCGTATTATCAGGTCAGCCAATCGGTGAACTGTAAAAGAAAATGTGTTACATGTACAGCCAATTATAACTTTTTGGTTTTCCTCTGCACTGCACTCTCTGTTAACGTTACTACATTTCCTTAGTCTGCGTCCTCATCGTGGTCGGCCTCGGTTCGGTCTTCGGTGGGTAGTCATCATCACCATCAAGCTTGCTGTTTTTTTGTAAACACAGCCATTTTTTACTCAACTTATTTTTTTTTACAAATCGCGCAAAATTAACGCTGGACAGCACGCACACACGCGCGCACACGGGGGCGGCGATTCGAGAAACGGCGCGTATCGCCGTCACCGTGACCGTTATCGCCTGGCATTTGTTGGCCCGACCGTCACTCAGTCGGCTGGCCACCCACGCGCAAGGAGGCACCCGTTAACTGTCGGTATTCGGGCACCGGGAGAGGTCTCCGCCGCTCGAGCTGCGGCTGAATAATGAACGCGGGCTCGCAAGAAGTTGGCGCCTCGCGTCGCTGTGATGAGCCGCGGGCGGCGCGTCGTGGGGTAGGAAGCTTCGCGCGTCTGTAACGTTGTCAAACGACATTAATGAGTTGATGCAGCGATCCTTTCAAAGTGCCCCTAATGCAAGCACGCACGCACGCAGCCAGTTGAAATGAATATTTAATATTCAATAGTTGTCTGAGGCTCTCTGCCGCACAGAGCGCCGATTGTTTACGGCCATCGCCGCGTCTCTCCGCAGCGCGTCCTCTTCTCGCTCGGAGGATCGTTCCTCTACTACTCGGATCACTTCAAGCTGTACAGCGCCTACTGCGCCAGCCACCCCAAGGCACAGAAGCTGCTCGAGACGGGTAAAGAGCACGACACATGACTGCACCCACCAGCACCGTTTGTTTAATTTTATTTCACTCTTTCCTCAATTATATGCTGGTCGTGCTCATAGGATTGCCACGGACATGTAGAGTCCTTTCTCAATCCATTGCTGGACTAGGACCACTCTTGGGGTCATGGCAGTTACTTGACCATGCTTCGGCATGCCGGTCACTGGTGGGTTCGTGAAGGCATCCATCGCATTTGTAGCCCGAGGCTCTTACTAGGTCTTAAATATGGGAACGAAATTGAATCGGAATTGTGTTATGCAAGGTGTGCAAAAACTATGTTTGGGAGAAAGCGGTCGGGTAGGGTTTGTGGTTAGGGCTCGGGTTGGGGCTGTTCGTTGTTTAAAAAGCGGCTTCTCAGGGCAGTTCCACATGCAGGGCAGACCGTCGGTGACGTTTTGCCGAAGCGACCTTAGAGCAATGGGGACGCGATGCCGAGTTAACAGCAGGCACCGTCGGCCACAACCCATCTGTCCATGACGCTGCCACACCCGGCCCGTCATTATGACCGCTCAACTTAATTTACTGCCAGTTGTGCTCATGCTACCCCTGTTTATTTTCACATCAGCCCCTTGCCTCGGACAGCTTTGGCCTCAATGAAAATAGAACCTTGAGCGGCATTAAAAAAAAAATCGCTTGCATTTTTCATAATAGCGCAGTCTTACACTTGGGACCCAACGCAAAAGGTGGGGGGGGGGGGGGGGCGGGAGGGAAATCCGTTTTGGCAGCAACACAGCAGGTCGGATCATTTTAATGGACTGCAGCCAGCTTGTTGGATCACGCTCATCTCCTCTAATTGATTTTAACGAGGGAAAGGCAGCGACTCTGTGGCTCCATGATCAATAAGACGGGCTAAACTGAAGCCAAAAACGGGACGAGGTAATTTTACAGCAAATTGCGTTTTCGCTATTTATGGCTGTGCCGGGAACAGGGTTTTAACGTGGGCTGTAACGATCCTAACCTGACGCCATGTGGTTTGATGAAGTGTCACGGTTGGACTCGAGAATTCACCTCTTTTTTATTTTCACCGTGGAGCACTGACTTGTCGTGCTTCACTTGGCTACAGGGACCACGTGATCTAATTACAATCCACATCAGCAAAGCAAAACCGATAGCTTCTCGTGCGCACGATTAGAGGCAAGCAATCGTGAGTGTCGGGGACTCTATTAAACTACAAATCGATGCGTCGTCACACGGCTGGCTTTAACTGTGCTCCAGAAAACTGTACCAGTGCACACGGCATCGAGTGCCGAAATAATGACGCACCTCGTGTGTTGAAACAAAAATAATTAGGCCGGTTTGTCAGTTCACTGCATGATCAAGGCATTCCCCACGCTGTGTCGATCATGGCTGTTTATTTGCCCATACTTCACCGCACTGGTCAGTACAGGTTGGGGAAGCTGAGGACCCAGGACCGAGCGCACAGGTTGCCGGGTTCATAGCGCAATGTTCGAGACACTTTTACCACCACCTCAGCATAATCGTTTTTTTTACCGGTAAAAATGTCACCTGTATGCTGTACCCATCGCAACAGCTGAGAATTGAATTGAGATCCAAAATCACACTGCCCATCCCTGCACCGTCGTTTATTCGGCGGGTCTGTGTGTGTACGGTGGCTCTGCATGCGCGCGCTCGTGCGTGTGTGCGTCAGTGTGTGTACACGTGTGTATTTGGGGAGTGGTAGTTCAGCAGTTAGCGCGTTGCGCCGGGAACCCAATGGCCAGAGTTTGATTCCAGCTCACGGGCCAATACTAGTGAAGATTATCTTAAATGGTCCTGGGCCTTCTCTAGGTCGACTCAGCCTCAAATGAGTACCTAGTGTGATGTGTATACATCACCACTGGGGAGTCAAAGGCGGCCGGGCGTGCTGCTGGCCACCCACCCCCTCGCGTGCCATGCCGGCCTTGGTAGGTGCTCGCTAACAGCACTTGCCCCAAAAGCCTGTTAAGGCTATAAGGGGGAACTTTGTCTTTGTGTGTGCGCTCTGCTTGAAGGGAGTGGAGGAAAGGTCAGCGAGAACAGCTGAGCACATGCCCGTGTGTCTGGCGCACCTAATAGTCGCTATATGAAGGCTATTGATCTTTAATTCAGTGCTGTGGCCATGCCTGATAGATGCGCTCTTAAAAGCCCAATCTGGTACTCTGGGCTAATCAAGTAGAGTCGAGGTTAATCTATCTGTGTGAGTGAGCGCTTGCGTGTGTGTGTGTGTGTCCGTGCATACCTATTAAGGATGGCAGGATACACGAGAGGGGGGGTGAGGTGACCAGCTCCACACCGAAGCCCTCTTTGTTTCCCTAGTACGATATTGTACGAACTGTACCAGGCTTTCACTTCGGGCCGAATCTACCTTGGGGAAAACCCAACACTGGAGTGTGAGCTCGAGACTGGAGCGTGAGCTTGGTTTACCCGAGTTCGATTCCTGGTCCGGCGGTAACAGCCCACACAAACATGCTCAGTTCTTGCAACCAAACAACACCAGTGACCTTTCATCCAGCACAAGGGGCTGCTGACGAGCTGTAAATTAACACGGCCTAACAATTCTTGTTAATGTACAGAGATTGTTTTTTGGTGTATTAGCACGTGTTTATGCGAATTGGGTTTAGTTCGTACTCACAAACCTCACATTTGCTCTCATGCTCGGAAGAGGAGCCTATTTCTGGGTTGTTCATACGGTGGTCACCCACGGGCTCCCGTGTCCCGTCCACCATCCCCTCCAAGATGCCTTTCAGAAAAGAATGGTGAGAGGGACTGGGGGAGGGGGGGGATAACTGGCATGCAATTGGTACGGATCAACCGGTTAGTTACGTGGCGTTGGCCCGGATCATGGTCTGTTCTATTTTTCGATTTAAAGCTTTCGTGACTGCAGGGATTCATCTTCTTGGTTCTTTCGGTAAAGTCGCATAGAAGGGAAGTAATAAAATAATAAAAATAAAACAGATGCTGTCTCCCCGACAGACCTGGTCTTCACCTGAGGACGGCTGCTTGCGTTGTGGCCGAAACGTCGTGTGAATTATTTTATTATGTTTTATTTTTATTATTTTATTACTTCCCTTCTTCGTGACTTTACCGAAAGAACCAAGAAGACTGTTCTATTTTCTTAAAAGAACACATTAACAATAGATTGGGAAAGTTGGATATTTCTTAGCTCCTTTTGTTACTCGTGGTATTGGCTTTCTCTGTTCGTGATCGCCCCCCACCTCCCCCCCACCACAGTAGGCTTGGTTAATCAGTCACTGAGGAGGTCACGTGGGTGGGGGGCACGATTCCCCCGGGGAGCCTACGTCTAAAAGTATATATCAACGTAATGCGTGTGTAAAATATTAAGCATTAGCTAAGTTCCCTGAGTGGTGGGCCCTTGAATGATGTTCTCATGTACATGTCCGGAGGAATGTGTCATTGACCACTTAGAAAAATCTGATTTAACGTACGTGCTAAATTCTTCGTTTCCATACGGGAGGCACCAACTGTTGCAGTAGTTTGTAAAGTAAATATATCGTTCACATTGTCATGTGTGTACCCTGCATTGTACTGCATTTTAATTGATCATTGTATTTGTTGGGCGGCATGTAACAATTCATTGTGAAAGGTGCTGTACCAATTGAAGATTGATTCGTAACTTAAATCATGTAAGAAACAAAAATAAGTCATGTTATGCAAACTGCACCTACTGTATATACACAAAACTTACCGATATTTCATATTTGTATGTATTTTTTCACCTGAGGACGATTGCTTGTGTTGCGATCGAAACGTCGTGATTTTTATTATCATTTTTCTATCTACGAGATTTATTTATTTATTAAGTTGACGCGTGCTTTAGGCATTTAATAAAGCATTGATCCGTTGAATTAAAACGTTTGGTGCACTTCTGACAATATGAGTTCAATCGTGCTTACAAGAAACGATTGTTTATAATCTCTGCAAATGCTCATGCTACATGTTTAAACACTCACGAATTGGCTTTAAACAGCTTGGGAAATTGGTGGTAGTGCCAGTTTACCGCATGGCTGCCTTTCCTGCTTGCCTGTGGCTTCCTCAGCGATTGTGAGATGCAATTTGCATTAAAGACGATGCAAACGGATCGCACAAAACATAATATCATTACTGTTAAATTCGAGCCAATAGAGCCGACATAGCGGTACAAACGAGCCAAATGCTAAAAACGGAAAGAAACCAAGACACGGCGGTGTTGTTTCTTGAGTTTATTCTCCATCCCAAATGGTGACAATTCATCAAACCGCTCTGTGAATGTTGACATGAGGCTAATGGGGACCAACGAGGCGGAACAGACGATACGGATAGATTACAAACGAGGCACGACGAACGGGATCAAGGACATTTTACGGAATCGACTCCCAGACCTGAATTGTGGCCAAGCAATCGCATTAGCAGCGGTGAATCTTCAAACTACGAGTGCGAATATCGTAAGATCATGCATGCATGTATGCGCGTTGAACTTCTTTCGCACCGCGCGTAGCCAACCGTGCTGATCGCGTGTTTGCTTTTTCTTCGCCGTTTTTGATCCACGTCACGCCGCGCAGCCAAGCGGGACCCGGCGTTCGGCGCCTTCCTCGACGAGCGCAACCCTCGCCGGCAACACTCGTCCACGCTGGAGTCGTACCTCATCAAGCCCATCCAGCGCGTGCTCAAGTACCCCTTGCTGCTGCGCGAACTCGTCTCGCTCACGGACGCTGACAGCGAGGAGAACTACCACCTCACGGGTACTCGAGCGCGATCGCCCGCGTCGTGCGCCTTGACGATTATCGCAAAGTCACTTTTTTTTGCGACTCGTGTTTGGTGAGCTGCTGGGGGGGGGGGCGGTGATTTCAGAGGCTCGCGGGTTGATCCCATTGGCCGCCCTGGTTAATACTGCGGCGTGATAAGTATATTTAAAAATACTTTTTTTTTAAACACGCTTTAATGAAATGTACCGTACGAGTAATGGCAGAACTCCACGTCTCCAGGAAGTGGCCCCGAGGCTTGCCATAACGTCAGGGACCGTGGTAATTTACAGCCAACGTGAGTTGAGCGTGGACAATTAGACCCAAGGCGAAACATAGCATATAAAAAAAGATGGTTTAAAAAATGTATTTTTAATGATAGAATATAGTATTGTCATCAGTAAGACATAAGTATACGACGTTTGCAGTCGATACCACATTGGGAAGTGGGTTAAAATTGAGTTACAAGATTTGAGGATACGACAACAGATAGAGTGAGTTAAATGAAAGCGTGTAATTAATTAACCCGTAAAAACAAAGTTTTTCACTATAAATCCTTTATATGCGTGGCGGCTAGAGTCCTCTCGTCTTCTGCCTTGAGATGGCTGCCACCTATGGGTCAGATGATTGCCTGCCACCATTAAGCAATTGGTAATTAAATATAATTTATTTTTTCCTAAAAAGTGTAACATTTTGGAATTTTTTTTCACGAAAATACATTGTCACGCACAACGAGTCTGTGTGCAAAATGCCAGCTCGATTGGATCACGGGAAGTGGGTTAAAAAAACGACCGAAAGATTTGCACGGTTGTAAGCAAGCAAGCAAGCACGCAAGCAAGCGAACTTAATATAAAGGATTTAAAAATAGGTGCCATCTGCTTTTCCAAATTGAAAACTCATTTCTTCGAAGCTGCTTTTGGTGTTTAGTTTGTTGTCCTTCCCCCCGCACCCTCCGATTAGCACGGTTGGCTACGTATGGTGCGAGAGAAGTTCCACATCCGTACACATAAATACAGAGTGGACGTTAAAAGATCCTGTGATGTTATTAAAAAAAAAAGTAGGCCATGTTTGTCGGCATCGTGGTTCGCATTCTCCAAGTGAAAAAGGTAGTGGCAAATTGCCTAATTGGGTGAAACCACACAGCAATGATCCCCCCCCACTGTGATAGCATTCACTGTAAGATTGGCACAATTACCATATGTCCAAATGATTCGTTTTGATTCCAGTAAAAATAAAGACTTCTGCAAAGCTTGTGAACTTCAGATCACTCAACATGAGCCTGCCACAAGCCTTTTAATCTGTTAAGCAATAAATAATGGAATACAGCAATGATGATGTCCTAGCATTCCATCAAATATGTTAAAGCAATAATTTAATGGGTAAAAGGTAATATTGAGACATTGTATTATTTTGTTTGTTATTTCACAGGCACATGGTCAAGAAATAGAATGTAAATTTTTTTTAACATTCATTACGACTTCATGGTTCTTTTGGTAAAGTCACGTCGAAGGGAAATAATAAAATAATAAATATATAAAACAATAACATTTCTCACGACGTTTTGACTGCAACACAAGCAATCATAATCAGGTGTGAAAAACACAGCAATAATTTTAATTTTTTCAAATTTTCTTGCTGTGGATTTCACACCTGATGATGATTGCTTGTGTTGCAGTCGAAACGTCGTGAGAATTTTTTAAAAATATTTTTATCATTTTATTATTTCCCTTCTACGTTACTTTACCGAAAGAACCATGAATATGAATCCCTACAGTTACAAAAGCTTTAAATAAAAATTAATTATGACGTGACCATATTTGAGCAAAATCGGTGATACGATTTTCGTGGACCTTATTCCACAAGGGTACAACCGTGGTATTGCCGTAGCGGCCGCGTGCCGTTGAGACGCCGTCACCCACCTGCAGCTCAAAGAGCAGCGGCAAATGAAAGCCGGAGACAGCCCCTTGCAGAAAAGTGCACCGATAATTATATTCCGGCTGTGATTTTTCCTGGGTTTCTGTACGCTGTTTACCCTTTGTCGGTGTAGGCACCCCCACTTTCGTTCCGTCAATTACCGTTGACGTGCGTTGCCACAATTTTCCGGCGAGCCGCATAATAAGCGTGTAACGTGTGGCTATTGGAGCCGCCTGAAGTCACGTGAACCGTGTACACGTGACCCCTTGTCTCTGTGTCCCTCAGCTCTTTCTGTCTCTCGTTAATCTCGCGATCTTTTCGCTGATCTGTATCGCTATGTCTCAGCAAGCCATGTGCTGTTGCAATTTTTGTTCACTTCGTAGTTTTTGTTTCCTCTGTCAGTGTTTTTCGCCGTGAGAAGGGTGGCACGAGTTCTGTTATGAGGTGAATTAAATCCGAATGATGTTCTCACAAAAAATGTATCCAGTAGTGCATGAGAATTAGTTAGTTGTCGTTTATCCAAATTATATACGAATGGTATGCCAACGTGCTTCTAGTCTAATGTGCAAACAAGCTAATACAGAGGTAAATAAAGAAGCAATATTACAAACGAGACAATGAAGACGAGACTAAAGCATTGGTTCTTGAATTGAATCACGACACTTGAATCACAGCAGTGAATATCTCTGGAGAATGAGTGTTGCTCGCAAAGTGCACCGATAAGTGAATATGCTGCTTAGTTCTTCATGACGTTGATGAATGGTGGCTGTACAGCCTGTTGTGACGAGGTCCCTAAATGCATACACCCGCACCATAACCACACTGTGGAGGCTTTGCTATGATTTTAAGAGTTCTTCGGAAATTAATATCGCTGCAGGAGTAAAATTTATATGCACCGCAGGCACACAGCCTTTAAACAGCCTCGCCCACTCAAATTATTTAAACCCCATTGTGCAGCTACGAGGCCGTGGTGGAAATTCGATATTCCTGCGGCGAGGGAAAGTTAATCCGTTGCGCATCCATTGACTTCTCAATAAGTGGAACTCATTTTCTTGTCCTCCAGTGGGATGATGGGGCTTAGTCGATCTCCGACTGGGATTTGAACCTAAAAAGTTCCGATCACAAGCCACGCGCTCTCACCGCAGTGAGTCGTGCTTAATTAACGGAAGAGTAGCCATGTGTAATATCAGTGGCGAGTGAAATTTGAATTGGTCCTAGGCTTACCCTAGGTTGACTCAGCCCTAAATGAGTACTTGTTGCAGTCCATTAAACATCACCGCTGGGTAGACAGAGGCAACCGGGTGCGGTGCTGGGCACGCGCAACCCCCTGGTGTTCCATGCTGCCCTTCGTAGACGCCCGCTAACAGCACCTCTCCGCAACAACCCATTAAGGCGACGTGGGCGGATCCTTTGTCTTTGCCGCGCAGAGGCGCTGCGAGCGATGAACAAGGTGGCGAGCCACATCAACGAGATGCAGAAGGTGTACGAGGAGTACGGCGCAGTCTTCGACCAGCTTGTCGTAGAGCAGACAGGAGCCCACAAGGAGGTGCGTCGCTGCTGCTGCTGCCCGCGCTCTATCATTCACTCGCTCGCTCGCTCACCCGCTCGCCTGCTTGTTCACTCGCCCGCCCGCTCGCTCGCTCACTCACCTGCTCGCCTGCTCGTTCGCCCGCCCGCTCGGCTGTCTCCCGCGGGTGCCAGCCACTGATTGCGTTTGCTAATGACGTGATGAAGTGCGGCGGTCGTCCTGCCCTGAAAGCCTAATGGTCCCGCAGGTGTCTCTCTCTGTGCTGCGTTGGATGGGAGCACAACTTTTTTTTTGGCGCGGTACGGTTTCGCGGGGAGCGGTGGCGCAGTGGTTAGCGCATTTCCATGGAGAATTTTAAAATATATATATAATCAATGTGTGCGCACGTACTTATCTCTGTGGTATTAAATGTTTTATTAAAACAAGGGAGCGCCCATTGAGAATAATATACTTCATTATGTGGAGCGGAGTGGTAGCTTAGTGGTTCATGCACACCACTATAAACCCAGTGACCTTGTCTTTTTTTCCCGGCCATGGTTATCCACAACGAACCGGTACAGGGGTGGGGTGGGGGGGGGCTAACTCCCTTCATTTCACCAACACAGATTGGATTTCTGCGTTTTTAAAGGAGGGGACCGTTGTCGTGTTCTGGCATCGGGTTAAATGCGACACGTTGGACAATGCCCGATAAAACCAGCGGCTTTTTCATTCGGTGCGTTGGCGAGGAAATGTAGCAGTTGACTGCTCAGCGTTCACGCTGTGTGGGAGGTTAAATTCGTTTATTTTAATGAAGGCCAGACTCGGTGAAGGCCAACATCATCATCGTCATCATCCATTTGAAGTGGAAAATGTGGCGGTTATTGCGTGTTGGTCCGCTTGATATATTTTTTTGGTTCTTCAATTGTATAATCTACTCTTCAACTGTGTATACAAAGTACATGGCAAACCGCAGTGCAGTGTGCGTATGTTGTTTGAATAATTTGCTCAAATTAAAGCGATGCTTTTAACAAGGCAAATTGCCTGTTTAGCATGAACATTACAGATCTAGTGTTACGAAATACCGCATATGAGTTGGTGAAATTGCTCGCCTTTGTTTACTCAGAAATACGTAAGCAAAAGGCTCTGATATTTACACCCAATGTTGTCTGATCATATTACATTTCATTGGCGCCTTCAGTGTCACCCAGGGCTGCACCTGAAGACAGGCTCGCGTTACAAGCGTCTTAAAAACTAAAAGCAGCTGGTTGTATTTTAGTGCTGATATATTTTACTTTAGAGAAATAAAAAAAAACACGATATCATGTGACGAATGAGAAAATGGAGGACAGTGGTCTTCTGAGATTTGTTTAGACATAGGGAGAGAATAAATGCAGGTTACGTTTGTAAGAGAAAGCAAAATGTCGAGTTGAATGGTAGAGAAGGGCAAGAGAGGGAGACCTCGGGAATGGTTGCGATAAGAGGACGACGGGGGGGGGGGGGGGGGGGGAGCGTGTGTGGCGTGGGTATGGAATTGGTGCAGAAACAGAGGAGTGGAAAGCAAGGACCAAACGAGAGGACCTTAAACACTGGGAATTTGCTGAAATAAAAATGTTGTCCTTATATTGAGGAATTGCATTTTATCATTCACATTTGAGGGTTACAAATTATAGTTTACAAAGTGAAAATTTGGGTTTTTTGTGATGTTTAAAACGTAGGCTTTTCCTACCGATGTTATTGATTTGGAATTGACATTTTTGGGTCGGATCGCGTGATTAAAATGCCACTGTGTGTGTCGTCCACCCTCCACCACCCTGGGTGCTGTGTGTAATCATTGTAATGAATTAATTTTACCGACACAAACGTTTGAGATTTGCTTAGAGGCTCCTGCAACGATGGCAGCAATACATTAGCTCCACATGAAATGTACGGTACGCAATTTATGTGACTCACGTAAAGTTAAATATTGAAATTCATTCAGAAGCATAGGCGTACAACCTCCATTACTGACATGGCGTGGGGAGGCCTTCATCCAGCAGTGGTTAGATAAATTATTAGGCTTAAATGTAACTTATGTTCCCGCTTTGGTGTGTACGTGTGCTGTGTAGTATGCGTTTGTGTTGGTTGACATATGTATGTGTGTGTGCACGCTGTGTATGCGCTGTGTGTTTGTGTGTGCTCTGTACTGTGTGTGTGCTCTATAAACGTATGTATGTTGTGCACTGTGTATGCACTCCACGTTGGTGAGCTTTGTTGCTCTGTTGCGCGGTGCCGCGCAGGTAACGGAGTTGTCCATGGGCGACCTGGTCATGAATGCCCCCGTGCTCTGGCTCAACCCTCACCCGGCCGCCGTGAGCAGGAGCAAGAAGTGGCCGGAGGCGCACTTGTTTGGTGAGATCCGGTCACACACCACTCCTGCACCCCATGCACAATGCCACCTCTGTCCAGCCCAACCTTAGCCTGGCGCCATGAACCCAGAATCACCACCGTCCGGCCCCATCGCAGGCCGCCCCCACCGTAGCCCGGCCCCACCGCAGCCTAGGCCCCATGACAGTACGGTTCTCCCGCCATCTGCCCTACCACAACCCGGTCCCACCACATCACGGCCCCATCGGCGCTCGGCTTCACCGACTTTTGTCCACCACCGCCGCCCATTAGCCCCACCGCCACCCAGCCGGCGCTTTTGCCAGTAAACTGTTTCTTGTTCATTTCTTTCCTCTTCTGCTAAGCCAAAAGTTCCTTTATTTTAACGGGTGGTTGCTGAGATTGTCTGCCTCCGTGTGATTCTTAACCTCGGCCTTTTACGCTCGTCATATCCATCGTATTCGTATTTTGTTCAACCTCGTCTTTCCGTCAATGTCACCCTCAACCTCCCTCGATTCCTTCTCTCCCGCACCGGTATCCCAGCAGCACTTTCTAATTTCGTCTTCTTATTTAGTCAGCCGATATTAATTTTTCATCAAAAAAAAAACACAGACCGCTCTTGACAATGTCAGCGCCAGATGTGTTTGAACGACTGAGCGAGCTTTAGCCGTGGTTGGTTTTGGCCGGTGTCAGCACCGCTAGGTTTTCAGAGTAAACGCGTCTGTTAAAAAAAAAAAAACCATCTGCATTCGATTTCAGGGGAGTGAGATCGGCATGTGATAACGCTCGCTCCGTCCGTCATGTGTGTGTACAGTGTTCAAGAAGGCGGTCGTCCTCATATGCAAAGAACATTCTAAGCACAAGAAGAAGGTAAGCGAAGAGATGCATTTGGTTTTTTCTGGGAACAAAATAATAGCCCACAAAAGCTCAACGGATAAAGGGGAGTGAGTTATTCATTGTACAGCCAGTTGGAGAGAGATGTATAATAAAATATATAAAAAGTGGGACTGTCGAGTGTTTTAACAAAGCCAATGTGGTTATTAAACAATATATGAAATGGAGATTATCAAGTTTATTCAGCCCGCACTTCAAATTTGGGCCTCGGTCATCACTACGGCTGCTTAATCCTGCTGCTAACTCCGCTGCTGCGTGCTGCTGTGTCTCACCGTGCACCTGGTCCTGATGCGTCACTGTTGTTTGCTGCTGCTGCTGCTGTGTGTAGCTGTGTCTCACTGCCACGCACCGTCTCATGTGTTCCTGGCTCACAGGAGGAACCCGACCCGTTCAAGTTCAAGTACATGATTCCCCAGACTTCTCTTCAAGTCAGGACCGGCACTGACACAGGTCTCGCCCGTTTTCTTAAATCACGAGTGGTTCGCAATTCCTGCCGCCGGTTTCAAGTTTTAATGCCAACGCCGTTGCCGTCGGCATCGTTTGCCGACGTGGAAGGAAAGCAGCACAAAGCGAACAACGTCGGGAACGTCGCCCATACACATGCGTTGTGCGACGCTTTCCAAACATTTTGGTGGCCTTGTTGGGTAACTACCTTGCAGTATGGAAGCCGATGGGGTCAGCTGTCAGGGCAAAATGTGTCTTCGTATTTCTAAATTGTTATTTTTGTCTTGTTTGTGTCTCCAAGTATTACATTTTTTTCTTATCAATTTGGCCCCGTTTGAATCCCGTCTCGTGCGTCTTTCTGCGTGGAGTTCATAAATGTTCTCCCCCCCTGTTCTGCATGGGATGCTTCTGGATTCTCCGATTGCCCACCATGCATTGTAACTATTGGCCAAACAAACCAATGCTCTAAAATTACCTGAAGATTACTCAATTGGGATTATGCACGGCAACATCGCCCACTAAACCTGGCGGCAGGGCCCTCCTGAAAAAGGAGTTTTTGAGACTCGGCGAGGCTTTCCTGGGTAAACAAGCGTTGAGACAATAATGGTTAAGATTCAGGTTTCATAGCACAGACCGCTAACCACTCCCGTTGCGCGACATGTAATCCGAGTGTTTTGTATTCTGCATAGAGAGAGTGGTGGGCTCTTCTCACGGCGTGCGCTTTCTTGCCTCTCAGACTCTGAGGCCGGAGCAGAATGGGAACTCGTCCACGTGAAGTCTGAGACCGAGGGCCGGCCCGAGACCGTGTTCAGGGTCTGCTGCAGGTACGTTCCAGCGCCTAGGGAGGCAGGTGTTGGTCGATCGCTCGGGGATATCATCACACGCTGTTAGATTGCCTAAAGCTTGCTGTGCTGCGAGTTGGTTCGCCGATGACCTCGCAGAAAGTAACTTTTTGAAGCGTCTTCTTGGTTCTTTTGGTAAAGTCACGTACTTCCCTTCTACGTGACTTTACCGAAAGAACCAAGAAGATGAATCCCTGCAGTCACGAAAGCTTTAAATCGAAATTTTTGAAGCGGTTCAAATGTGTGGGTTTTCTGCGATTTCATCTCAGAAGGAATTGGCAAAGAAATGTTAAACTGCGTGACCGACCGGGGACTCGTGTTAATGCACCATGTGGTGGTTGAGGTCAGGACCAGTGCTCTAAAAGATGAAGCGACGTTTGGCTAGCCACCGAACAAAGACGGTCGCTGCATCGCGCGCTTTAAGCTGAGTGCACACAGCAAACACATATTCAATTTGGTTTTGCACTTCATCATCAACCGCGTTCAATTCACTGCTGTACGAAAGTCCCGTTCGGCCCTCGGTGAGGATGAAGATTCCCCACCCCTGCACTTATGAAACGTGCCATTTTATTGAGGGACTGTGCGTTGTCTCGTTGTGGTCTGGGACTGTTTTTGTTGTTGCCCAAGTTTGCATTTAGTGTTGAAAAATCGGTAGCAATGTATGTACTTCTGCAATTAGTACTTATCGATTTTATTTATTTATTTTGCGCTCCTATCGTTTTGTTCGTAATTTGCTGGCCCCGCCCCCCTGCTGGAAATCTGTGAAAAAGAGCTTCATAGCTCATCGGATTCCTCCTGCAGTCTAAATAAAGCTTCTGATGATTCTGAAACACCACCCCTCCCGTAAACGTGGCGGCGACCTCGCGTTTGCAGCGACGCGGAGTGGAGGGAGCGCATGGTGCGGGTGGTGCGTGCGGTGCTGCGCGAGGGCTCCCGCCAGCGGCTCTGCAAGGCGGCCAGCGTCCCCGCCAAGTCGCCGGGCTACCTGCCCTTCGGCGGACGGCGCCTGTCCGCTCTCAAGGCGCGACGGCTCCGTGCCGGAGCAGGTGAGGTTTGCCCCCGCCACTCCCCCCCCCCCCAACGCCGTGTGAAATCGCGCGGGTCGGGTCTGTGAAGACGCGTCGGTTCCTCCTGTTGCTGCGCTCGAATGCCAGCGAGGGCAGCGTCGTCATTCCCTCGATGCGTTTCTCGCCGTGTTCTCGATTCCTTTGCTGCAGTCCCTTTTCTTCGCAGGGTCATTTTTTCGTCACTTGGTTGTCATTGCCAAATACTTTATTTGTTTCGCTTGCTATTATTTCTATGCGTGCGTACAAAAACGGTAAGTCCACGTTTATCCTTAATCTGCTGGATGTGTGGAGCGTGGTTATTAAAAATGCAATAATGGGCCTTTTGTCTTGGAACAAGAATGAAAAGAGAGTTTCAATTCCCCTCCGCTCCCTCCTCCCCGCTCGTAGATGCGCGCCGTCTCAGCCGCTACGCGAGCGACGGCCTCTGCTGCGATGACCCGGACGACGACTTCAACGGCAGCGCCAGCGGCATCGGCGAAAGCGGAGGCCGCGTCGGTGCCGCTGGCGGCGGCGGCGGAGGAGGAGGAGGAGGATCCGGCGGCGGTGGCCGGGGCCCGTCGTGGCGCCGGACGCGCGGCAGCGTCGGGCGTGCTCACGCCATCGAGTTCCGCTCGGAGCCGGAGTTGGCGGCGCGATCGTCGCGACCCCGCCGAGAAGACGGGGGCAGCGTGCGCGAGACGGACATCCTGAGCAGCGACGAAGACGACGACGACGACGATCGGCGGGGACGGGGCGGCGTGGGCGGCGGCGGCGGGGGCGGCGCGGGCGAGCTGTGCGGTGGGCGCAGCACGGCCAAGTCCGTGGAGATTCTCGCAATGTCGGACGACCGCTACGCCGTGGCCACGGAGCCCGGCCGGCTGGCGTCGCAGGTCCACGAGCGGTCGGTGTCCCCCGCGAGGTCGGACGGGGCAGCGCCGGCGCTGCGTCCGCTCCGGCAACAGAAGATCATCTTCGACGCCGTCGGAGGCCACGACGAGGGAGGCGGAGGCGTTGGCGGAGGCGGCGGCGGCGTCGGCGGTGGCGGAAGAGTCGGGCCGCGGGGCTCGCCGCTTCGCCGCAACGCGAGTGACCAGTCGCTGAACTCGTTGCTCAGCGAGATGGGAATCTACGAGGGGCTCAGCGGCTCCGACACCGAGTGAGAACATTACGCGAGTTTGCTCCTTGGCGTTGGAGCAAGTTGTGGTAAAGCCGGACGGAGACTGACGGTCGCCGCTGCATCGGGTCGGCCGTGGCGAACAAGGGATTGTGGGATTCTGTCGTGGGGTTGGTTGCAACGTCGCTTGAGTAAACGTATATCGGACTGTTCGACTCTTTACAAATATATTCACATGTTAAGCGACTCCACTCGCGTCCCTTGGTTGCGTCGAAGCAGCTCTCTATAATTTATGTAAAATTAAGCACATTGGCTGTCCAGTGCTACATTGGGCTGGTTGCGTATTTAAAACAAACGTTTAATTCAGCTCGATTCCTCAAGCTGCACTGTGTGCCGACTGGCTGCTTGTTCGATGGGAGCCATCGATTGAAGGGCTAAGGGCAATGTTTATTTTTTTCATTTAAATGTTCGCTTTGAAGCGGGTACGATGTTAACGCTGGAATCATGTAATCGTCCTTTTCTCACTGGAAAATTATTTTGGAAGGCGCAGGTAAATATCTCCCGGGCCTACCCATTAATTTAAAAACTACGTGCGATGGGGATTTATTTTGGGGGGTTTTTCCTCAACGATTGTGCGACAAAAAGCCGACCGTTTGTTATTTAATGGTTTAGTGCAGCTACAAAGGCTTTCTCACGAGCAGCTTTTTTAATTTATCTCCACCAGCTGGTGTCCATGAATGCGCCCAGCCCACACCACCACTGGAGGATCCATGGCAAGGTAATGCATGGGGGCAGATTCCAGAATTGTCCCTTTGGCTTTGGCTCCATTGAGGATTAATTTCCACAGTGAAACCAGTCGCCGATTGGGAGGAGGTGGCCCTGAACCAGTTTTAATCCGATTTCGATTGCCGGCGTGCACACACGGAAGATGTTGGCATATGACAAGTGGAATTCTGACAACAAGACAATCTCGCAAGCACAAGCCCGGATGGGACCCGGTCTCTGAATGTTGTGGACTGTGGCTGAACTTGAAAATCCCAAGGGAAAAGGCACGGTTTGTGAGACTCGTTCTCAGAGTGAATCTGGGCTGAGCCCCAGGAATGTGGTGCGGACTTGTCTCGGCGAGTTCCATGCTAGTACATTTGTAAATGATGTGATTGCCACACTTTCTGCATGAACGAACCTGTGTGTGCCATGGAGGTTTGTGTAGGACTGTGTGCGCTCCCCAGGAGCCCTAAGCATCTGATGAACAAGCTGTGGGTTCTTTGGAGATTCTTCGCTGAGTATTGAGTAGGTCGGTGGTGTGGACTGCCCCGGAACCCAGCACAAGCCTTACCTTTGTTGGGATGGAAGATTTGTGTGATCTGCTCGCCTTAACTGACAACACAGTATCGCCAATCGGATTCAATGAGAAGAACAAACAAGCGCTGTCAAGTTTAGTATTTCGTTCATTGATCCATTGGCTGTATTTTAATTATTTTGCGCGCTGGACATGGGACTTTTACGACGAAGTGCGATGTTACAGGGTAGAGTGCAGCGTGTGATGATGGTTTTGAGCCGTGCACTAGTCTTGGAGCAGTGGAAGTGACTGGGGATCGCCTGGCTCTCATGGTACTGTGCCCGCACAAAGCGTTAATCATAATCATTACAGGGCGTTAAGTGTGTCTGTGGACGTCGTGCTAGCCCGAGATCCCAGTCACCGCTTCGCTGCTACTACTGCTGCTGCTGGTGTGGTGTGCTGATGTGCGTCGTTTTATTTTTTTACCGCTCTTCCCGGCGAAGGAAAAGCTTCACCAAAACGCGAAGCGCGGCACGGCAGTGCTGGCGCGAGGCTAAAGAGGAATGTATTGAGCAGGGTGAGCACCGCCTGGACTCGCTCGCCACCACCGTTCGCGGGCGACTGCTCAGACGGCGCTCGTGCGTGAAATCCGGGGTTTCGACGCGAGCGGCGTTGACTTGCCTCGTTAGGGCGTCGTGACCCCAAGGCTGGCTCGCCCTGCCCGGCAAATCCGGCAATCGGCGACCGTGTCTGTGCGTTTTGTTGCACTGCGCACGCAACGCGTGGATAATTCACTCCCAAAGCTTGTCGCGCATCTTGCTGCCGATGGGCCGGAGACGTTTCCCAACCAGGCGGCAGTTTCACCGCATCGGTCTCTCATCCCTTTAATTTCCGCCCACTGTCCGCTCACCATCCTTACGCCTACTCATCCGTTGACCCACCTACCCACCCACACTCACCTGCCTGCCCATCCACCACCTACCCACCCAGCGTTTGTGTTTTTTTTTTACTCCTCTCAAGTTGTTTGCGTGACAATCACGATAAATGTGGGGGGGCGCACTTGAACCGCCGCTCGGTTTTGCCGTCGCCCGTGCCGGCAAAGCACCGTTGTTTGCCTCTCCACGGTGGCCTGTCGAGCTTTATGCCTTCTGGTGGTACTGTTGTTGCTGTTCGTTCATTTGTTTCGTCGTTTCGTCAATTTGTTTCCTTCTCGTGTAATGTTTTCTTCCAACTGCCTATCTATACGTGTGTATGTACATTGCTAACACGAGTTGTGGATTTTATTCAGCGTAGGGCTTTGAAACGTTTTGTAATAAAAACAAACAAAAGAAAACCGATCGACGTGAGCTGGTGTTCACGTGGCGTCGATGTCAATCGTGTTGGCCGCCTGAGTGGGCGCTGGCTGTCGTGTCAACGGAGATGCCTCCACCATCCTCCCTTGGTGTTGACGTTCGTCTCAGCCCGGCGGCACCCTCATCGCCCATCGCGGTTCTGTGTGAGGCCCCACAGCAGCACACATCAGTTTGTTGCACGGTTGGCCACGTACGGTGCGAAGGAAGTTCAACGTACGGTTATCATCTGATTGCTGCTGTTGCTTTTATTAGCAGCACAAATAAACTGGCACGTGCGCCGAGCTAGGTCGCAGCGTTACTTCAAAGCTAGAACATGCTATTGGGTAAAGGCCCCCATAAATGTTTTCCTCTGCTCCATCGGGGTGTGTGTTTGCGCAATGGGTGTTCGTTGACTTTCCGGCATCACCCGGTTACGTTCAAGACCGCTTTGCTACTCGTCACTGCAAAGGAAGTCACGTGATTGCAGGTTGCGTCTTGTCATCTTCTGCGTTGCCCAGAAACGTGAAAGACAAAGCCATCGACGAGCTGGCCACTTGGGCCAAAAGTATCACTGGTGACGTTTCAAATTTTCATTCATGTGAGTGACAATTTGCGTGTGGGTAGGAGAACGGAACACGGCGTCTTCACGATGTCTCGTGGTAGAAAGAGGAGAGCGCAATAAATATCGTTCTTTTCTTGTTCGCCTCTTGGCTTTGTAGGGGGGCCCCACACGCACATCCGTGCCATTGCCTGGCCCACGTGTTGCGCTCGCCTACCACGGACAACCCACACACACTCTCATACCTGTCAACCCCTTACCAGTGCCCTACCTTATTACAGACCATACTCGTAGGTTTTTTCGGTAAAGTCACGTAGGTAAAAAATAATAAATAAAATCTGTTTAGAGTTCGGTGAAGAGGAAGGCCAGCGTCTCGAGAAGCTGTGACTTCTTGTCTCGTCTGTTAAAAACTCTTAACAGATAGGTGAAATTCCTCCCCGTAGAGGGCATTGAACAGATTTTATTTATAATTTTTTAACCTACGTGACTTTACCGAAAAAACCTAAGAGTATGAATCCTTACAGTCACGAAAGCTTCAAATCTAGAATTATTACAGACCAATTCAGACCTTATTGGCCACCCCCGTGCCGCTTATAAATCTCAACGTTCATCCTACAACGTCCCATCACAAGGGAGAAACGCAAACAAATATACAAAATAATATTATTTTCTTGCTCGTGTTGAATCGGATGGACGCGGCACGGACCTGAAACCCCAATTTCCCTGTGCAAGAATACGGCTAAACCGTGTGGGTTCAGGCAGCGATGCCTGAATAAATATCGTTCCGTTCTGTCCACCTCTTGGCTTTGACGGGGGCCCCACACGCACATCCGTGCCACGCCTGGCCCACGTGTTGCGCTTGCCTACCACGGACACGGATAAAGACAAAGATCCCCCATATGGATATAACAGACTGTTGGGGCAAGTGCTGTTCGCGAGCACCTATGAAGGCCGGCACAGCTCACGAGGGGGTGGGTAGCCAGCACCACGCCCAAGCTGCCTTTATCTCCCCAGTGGCGATGTTTTTACGCACCGGCCCTGGACCGGTTCAGATAATTGTCACTGGATGTTGGCCGTGAGCGGGAATCGAACTCAGGATCCGCCAGGTTCGTAGCGCAGCGCAGCTACCGCTCCTACGGACAACCCAACCCACACATTCTACATTTAAAGCTCACTGCAAGGATTCACATTCTTTGTTTTTTTTCGGTAAAGTCACGTAGGTGACGTGACTTTACCAACCCACACACTCCGTGCACAAACAGGGGGGCATCCTGCCACGGGAACTCAACTTCCCGTGCCCCCCCATCCACCACCCACCACCACCACCACCGTAGACACCCTCCCGGGCTCTGGTTAAACTTTCACCACTTTTTACATCCAGCGCCCGTGGCCAAAGGTCGCGCGGGTGGGGGAAACGGTCACATGACGACGCACGGAACTCTCGGCGCTTTTGCGGACCGACGGCAGGGAAAGCGTCGCGCCCTCGATTCGTTTCTGCGCTTCTGGGGGAGCTTCGGGAGAACCTCAAAGGCACGGGCGGGGTCAGGGAGCCAGCTCCCCCCCACGCCATCCGATGGCTTCGCAGGTAAGAAGAGCGGTAGATGGGGGGGGGGGGGGGTCGATCCAGACGACGTTTGAGTTTTTTTTTATAAACCTGGAGTGTCGGGGGGGGGGGAGAGGGGGGCTTCTGCTAAACGGGGATCCCTGGTCCGGCCACGGTGTTGAAAGCCCTCTCGGGGAGTTGCGTTGCACGGGGAGGGCAGGCCGGGCGTTTTCGTGGCAGTGCCGCTACCTAGAGTTCAACCTGGTCTTTGTACCCGACGTTGTCGGTTCTATTGATCTATTTCAACAATCAGAAATCGTGTGTGTGTGTGCGCGCAGCAGTTCACGGTTAAGGAGGAGGCCGAGTTTTGAAAGTTCAGTGGAACTGTGGCGGGATGATGGGCCATGATGGTGATGGGTTTGGTTTGATTTTGTCCGAAACCACAGTTTTTCGTTTGAGCCGGGAACGTTTTGGCAAGCCAACGTCGTACAGTAGTAGGTGGGTAAAGGCAGAAGTAATGCTGTGTGGAAATCGTTTTTGTTTCAAAGTATGCTGCTATTTTAAGGTAAGACTTTGAACTCAAACAATGTTGAGCAACACCCACAATTGGCATGTATACATTTAATTGGGACAATGTTCCTGATGCAAACAGATTATTATTATATATATGTTTTACAGGAAACTAAATGCGTGTTGGATGTTGCTGTTGTAAGCAGAGACACAGAGTGGTGGACTAGTTCACCCACCGCACTATTAAACCCGCAAACCTGAGCTTGAATCCCAGGTGACAGCCAACATCGTTGGCAAGCGGTTGTTTCAACTTGTCATGGAGCACCTTGAACCCTTCAACAACCCTCGACTGGTCGGAGTGTTTGCCCGCACAGTCGCGAGAAGTCGACGTACTCCGTAAAACGGTTCTCTTTTTAACAGGATCACGCGGTCACTTTGGGGAGGGGGGGTTAGTTAACACATTCCTTGGAAGTATGACTCCACGGGCTAATAACTTCCGTGGCCAGAGATACTTGTGCGGACATGTCCTGGAGCTTCCCCTGCACCAACCCTGACCAGGGTGGCAAAGTGTACGGTCAAAGCAACCGCATTTGAGTTGGGGCAGGGGGGCATTCTATCCAGCAGTCGTGGTTTGACTACTCAGCGATTCATACCATGTCAACCATTCTATCAGGGCCCTACTTTACTAGAGACCAATTCAGAGCTTACTGATCACCCCGTGCCCTTATAAATCGTTCATCCCACAAAGTCCCCATCCACAAGAGAGAAACACAAAGACACATGTTGTTGCCCGTGTTGAAACGGCTGTATGCCGTATGGACATGAAAACTCAATTTCCATGCACAAGAATACGGGGTAAACCGTATGGGTTGTGACCGGATTATCCTAGTAGCAAAAGTAGCATATGCTACGAGTCCCCGCGCTAAATGCTTTCAAGCTATTCAATTCCGGTTCAGTGATTCTGCACTTGTTCTATAACTATAGTACTATACCGCCTTCAACTTGTATGAACGACTGGGTGTTTAAGGTTAGCGATTTGTCGTATTATCTGGCTGTATAACAAATGAAAAAATACAATTTACTATGAAAGTAAAAAATTCGTGTTTTAATATTAACTTATTTTTTCTTATGGCCCCTTGAATAACATAGCTTAGTCCGGCACTGGTCGTGACAGTTATGGAGATGTAACATCGTTTTTTTTTATCGGAACCGTGCGCCCCGGGGGTGACCCCTTGGAGGGCACGTGGCGATCACGTGGCCCCACACCTGCGTCGATCCTTGTTCACAAAACCTCCTCCAGTCGCCATCGCATTTGTCACGAGTCTCCCTTGCGAAGTCATTCGTCTCGCAGTACTCCTCCTCCTCATCCTGCCTTTCTGATTCCCGTTCACTTTAACAACAAAATCTTCTTCAGCGAGTGGTTATTCTAATGCGAGGTGTGTGTGTGTTTTTTAATTGACAGGATGGATGTAATTTTTAAAAAAATACGCGCACTTCCAAAAAATATTATCTATTATATTTTCATATCTGGCTGTCGCCTGATGAAGCTAGTTGTAATTACTGGCGAAACGTCGTACTCAGATTGTAAATGTTGTGGCTTTGCTCTCTAACACACGAATTGGCATGTTCTGTTTACAGTGACACACCTTACTAATTGGCTGTGTCGGGTGGTGGCGGGTTTAACGACACATTTATATATTTATATGCGATCTAACCAAAAAAAACAGTATTATGGATCTCATCTGTATGGCTTTCCTTTGTCAATCTACTGCTGGATGAGGGTCTCCCTCAAACCGTGCCGGTCGTGGGTGATTTGACTGTACCCTATTTGCCAGGTTACTGAAGGTGGGGACTCATAGAAGTAAAATGTTATCGATTGCTCTGCCCTTGCTCTCTGTTGCCCGCAACTTTGCTGCACAGCAACCTGTCACTTCAAACCTGTTTTAATCTGAAGATCACCTGGCCATAATCAGGCTACAAAGGTGTAGGCCTTTCCTAATGTGTCTAATAATGATAATAAGTGCATTTCGGTTTAGTGGTTCGTGCCAGTGAATCACACACTGCACTATTAACCTCGTGACCGAAGTGTGATTCCCATCCACGGCTATAACATTAATGCCAAATTGATAGATGACCCGATCCTAGACTTCCCTGCCACACCAACCCACACTGACCAGCGTGGTGAAGCATGGTCAAACAAAGCACATGGTGTGTGCGGGAGGCCTGCATACAACAGCGGATTGACAAATGGTTGTTTATTTTGTATTTAGATGTGTTGCAGACTCTAACGAATCAGACATTTTATATTCAGGACAGTGTGGTTACTTGGAAAGCAATCTGTAAATCAGAGCACAAGATGCCAATAGGGGCCGTCCATAAATGACGTCACG